CCCATCCTCAGTCAATGGCCCAGGTCCAAACTCAACCTCAGCCAAAGGCCCATCCACAAGCCCATCCTCAGTCAATGGCCCAGGTCCAAACTCAATCTAAGCTGAAGGCCCATCCTCAAGACCATCCTCAGTCAATGGCCCAGTCCCAAACTCAGCCTCAGCCAAAGGCCCATCCTCAAGCCCATCATCAGGCAATGGCTCAGACTCAAATTCATTCACAGTCCATGGCCCATCCACAGTCAATGGCCCATGGCCAGGGTAAAGCCCATATTCAGTCGATGGCCTGGCCAAGTCAGGTTGAATCTTTGACTCAACATCAAACCCAGGCTCAACATGTCATCCAGCCTCAGGTTCATTCTCAGCCTATGACTCAGTATTCTGCACATGCTCAACCATCAGTCCAGCTCCCGGGACAGATCTTACAGGGCCAGCTACAGCCTTGGACTCAAGTCAGAGCCTCATCTCCAATATCTGTCCAGCATCCACAGGTTCAACCTCAGCTTTTCCCTCAGGGTTACCCCCAGGCACAATCTCCATCCCAGCTGTGGACACCCAAACAAGACCTACAAAACCAAGCCTTTACCCAGCAGAGACATCCCATTCCGCAACCATACATTCAGCAAATAGATCAAGCTTTACAGTCTCAGGTCTATCCAACAGTTCAGGTCCTACCACAGTGGACCCAAAGTGGGCCCCAGCAAGGACCTCAGATAAGGACACCTGGGTATTCTCACATGGGACAATCATATACTCATCCTCAAATACAGCCACAAATACAACACCAAGCCTTGGCTCAAACACAACCCCAGATGAGGCCCCAAAGTCCCATGCAACAACAGATGAGAGCTTATAATATTGTTCAGACACAAGGCCAAGTAGTGCCGCAAATGTGTGTACGCCAGCGCCAGCCTCATCCACAGTCTCCTTCTCAGCAATATTCACAGGTCCCGCATCAGCCTGAAACTCAGCATCAGCCCCAGATGCAAATTCAAATACCTCAACAATCACAAGTGCCACATCCAACCCATCCTCAGTTTCCTACACAGCCCCAAGTCCAAACAAAGCTGCAGGCCTCATCGCAAACCCTTATTCAGACACAGCAATCAGTACAGACAAAGCCCCATGCTCAGACTCAGCAGCCTCAGCTCAATGTTCAGTCCCAGGAGCCTCCTCCACAACCCAAACAGACCCAACTACAACCACAACTGAAAATTCAGCCAGCAGCTCAACCAAAAAGGGAAATACCTTCACAGCCAAAGCCTCTAGCCCAGTTAGCACCACAACCAGAGGTTCAATCCACAACTCAAACTAAGACTGGATCACTGCCACAATCTGTACCTGAGCCCCAGTTGCCACCAAAACCCGTGGCTCTGTCACCAACCCAACCCAAGGATGGATCACCTCCGCAATCCAAGTCACAGCCACAAACTGAGACTCAAATACCAACTCAAACAAAGGTTCATTCTCAAACCCAACCTAAGACTGCATCACTGCCACAACCTGTCCCTGAGTCCCAGTTGACACCACAGCCCACAGTTCAGTTACCAACCACACCCATTGATGGATCACCTCCACAGTACAAGTCACAGGCCCAAAAAGCACCACAACCTGAAGCTTCATCACCATCTCAAACAAAGGTTCAGTCACCAACCCAACTCACATCCCAATCTATGCCACAACCTGTACCTCAGGCACAGCCCCCACCACAGCCCCAACTTCAGGCTCAGTCACCACAGTTACCCAAGGCCCAACCTAGCGCACATTCCAAGGTTCAATCACCCCCACAGGCCAGATCTCAGATCCAACCACTTCCTCTACAGTCCCAAACAATTGTACTCTCTCAGGTCAATGTGCTACCTCAGTCCCAGGCTGAGTCTCCTGACCTCATCAAACCCCCGGCGCTGGCTCAGGCACCTCCACAGGCTTACACAGAGGCTTATGCCAAGGCCCAGGCTTTGGCCAGAAATGGCTTTGAGGAGGCCAAGCACTGCCTGCAGGAGCACATCCTGGAAGCCATCAACGTCTTCAGAGACAAACACATATCACCCGAACAAGCGTCAGTGAAAGAGGTAAATCTAATTACTGATGTTTCCTCCTGAGTCTTCACTCATTCCCATAGACTGTATATAAACACGGTGGGCATCATGGCTCCCCAAAGTTGAAGCCAAAGGTCTCAGGTGACCCCCTGGTGTCTTGTGGCATATAGGCACTGTAGTTTAAATGATGTACCCAGTTCATGGAAGCTGTGTTTGTTGTTTTCAACATTCAGTGGCTGGTTGGACAGAAATCTGTGAATAAACAGGAGACGATTCAGTTGATGATTCAGTTACTTTAAATAAGTGAATGTATTCCTCTCAACAAATGTGTAAATTTGTTTTTCTCCCTCTCATTTTTTCATCGACCAATTTGCAATGAGCCATTTTGCAACTGCATGATTTGCCTTTCCCCTCAGGAGACCCTGAAGACCCTGGACCCAGAGTTGCTGGAGGAGTTCCTCAGAGCAGCCAAGGGCATGGAGGCCTTCTGTACCCCCCCACAGCTCAGAGACATGGAGTTCTTCACCCAGTCTGTCAGATCTCAGTGGGAGGTAGGACACAAACTCTGTTAATGTGTGAAATCTTAAGTGACACATCTAGACAAGTGTTCACATGTTCATCAAGGTACAAATGTGTCAAATATACTGATGTCTTTAAAACATAAATCCACTCAATCCTTGTATTGAAAACTGTGTCCTAACATGTCAAGTGTTATATTTTTCATTTTAAATTTGTTTCATGATATCTCCCAGGCCGTGAGAGCTGAGATCTCAGGCTTTTCACAACAAGTACGGTTTGAAGTGACAAGGAGAGACTTTAACTCAGCTGCTCGTCAGTGTGAGACGCACTTAAGCTCCCGATTAGAAAAAGAAGTCCAGGTAGTTGATTTACTAGAACTAAGCTCTTGGAAGGTGTGCTTCAGTGGATGGGTATTCTGCAAGCTTACCTGCTCTACTTGCCTAACCTTCCTTTCTTCCTCCTTCTCTGTTTGCGAGGAGAGCGATGGTGAGCCTTGGTGACTTTGTTCTGGTTCCTCTTTAAGAGACTGCTGTTTTGGGGTCTGTGAAGAATAACTTACAACATGATTTTGTATCTTGGGTGTGGGCAAGAAACGAGAAACACACAAACGCAGATTGGAACGAATTAAAATAAAAACAGCATTCTTTCACTTTTTATGCAGTTCACCTGTTGGGGGTCGGCTTTTGCATTAGTCTACATCTGTCAAGCTGTCAGATTAAAAATATAAATAAAAAATGTGATTAAATAAGAGGGTGCACCGGTGTAAAAATTATAATGTGACGTCGTGCATGGATGGAATACTCAACCCTCTGGCTGTAAAAGCAGTAATAACTATGCTCATTGTTCTCAACAGGCTTGTTTTGCAGTGGATGGCAGCTTTGCTCAGGCAGGGCAGCACCTTCAGGCCTTGAAGGAGCTGTGCGACACCCTGAGCCCGGAGGACGCTCACCGCCTCGCCCAGACGCAGCTGAGGGAGTGTGAGAAGAGGCTGGCTGCCATCCAGCACCAGTTCAGCGGAGACCAAGAGACACCACTCCCCGATTCTAGGTGGGTTATCAGAGTCAAAGATAATTTCCTAAACAACAGGAGCTGATGGCAGATTCTTAATGTGACCTATTTAAATGAATGTTTTGAGATTAATATGGATTTTGTGTTTCTACGTTGCCTTTACATCAAGGAGAGAAATATAGTGATGCCTTCATTCCGTCCTTGAAACTTCAAACATCAGACTTTCATCTTTCACTTGCAGTTTTTCCGCAGAGTGATTTTGTCCTGTGTTGCAATTAGCATAAAACTTTTTGAAGGAAAATCACCATCCTCGTTCCCTCTTCACAGGATCCCTGTTGCCTTCAGTGAGGATGTGACCACACAAGAGGAGCACGAGATACCTCAAGTCTCAGCTGAGGTATGACTCACTCCCTTTGAAACCACACATTCCCAAGATTAGAGCTCCTCCTCCAGTGAATGTTTTCAGACCAATGTTCCAGGAACAAGTGTTTCACATGTTCTTCTTTTATACCTGAAAGCAGTTTGAATGAATGAATAACAAACTATTCTTCGTTTTCAGGTTTCCCAAGTGACGGTAAAGACGGTCAGTGTGGAGAGGAGGGAGGTTGAGAAGCAGACGTCAGTAGAGGAGGACGTCACCAAGAAGGAGGCTTTTGAGAGGTACGCCTCGATGACAATATACATCATACTGACCGAAACTATTTGGATTCTCAGTGATGAACTTGTTTTTATTTGTTTTAAATGTGACAGATATGAGAACTGTAAGAGGACCCTACATGCACAGCTTTCTAAAAACGAACAGAGCATCAAGGATATCCCCTCGGACTCCACCTCTCTGAAAGGCTTACACACACGTTTGCAGGAAATACAGGTGCAACACAATATTTGAATGATCTTGTTCTATATTTTTTATTCCCCACAACAAACTAATATCCTCTTTTTCCCACAGTTCTTGAGGCAGGAGACGGAGTCCCTGTGGTCTGAGTATGGAAACCTGTGCTCCCAGTGTTCCCAGTTGGGTGGTAACACTGGTCTGGAGCAGGAGAAGGTGGAGCTGCAGGAGCAGTGGCGCAGCCAACAGTGTAACCTTCAGAGGAGAGGCAGCTCGCTGGGCGCCGCCCTCAGACAGGTCGACTCCACAGAGAACCACATGGTGGACTTCTCCGACCGCCTGGACCGGTACCTGAGGCAGCCCAAAGACATCAGCGCCTTCACACTGGCCAACACCAACATCCTGAAAGATATTAAGGTCTAATGTCCTCCACACATGTCCTTCATTTGGGTTTAGTTTTATTATTCTAAACTACAAACGTGATCAATGCATCGATATTATTATTGACTTTTATAGATGTGTATGCTAAAGACAGTTTAAACATGAACCATACTACAATTAGACAATTAAAGAAGGTCTTTATCACCCCCTGGTGGCAGGCTGCAGTGTAGGTCATAAACCCAGCCTCCTCCACGTTAGCAGATTGAATGTGACTTAAGTCAAAGTAGATGTTAAATAATTGTTTTAAGTTCGGTTTAATTAGTTATTTGATGATTAGCTGAAAACATGATTGACGGCTGAGATTGACTCATGATTTGTTGGAGGGGCTCTTGATACCACAGCTCCACCCCGTGATCTCTTGGCTCCATTTCTGGAAAGTGTGAGGAATTGGAGTAGTGTCGTCCATCTTTATTTACATTCTATGACTAAAATAATGGACTTTAACTGATGATTGAGACCAAAGTGACACATGTTTGAACGTGAGCAAACATTTCTGAGTGAAAAGTGTTGGAAGGAAAAAGACAAGCTAATGGAAAATAGACTTTTTCTCGAAAGAACAAAAGTTCATCAGCAGCTTTGGCAGAAAAACAAATCTCACACTTCAGTCCTCTTATCTCACTCTTATCTGTACTTTGTCTCTTTTTGCAACAGGAACTAGATGAGAACATCCAGAGTGAGCTGGACCAGCTGTCCCGTCTGGACCATGAATCCAGCGACCTGGACCCCAGAGACTGTTTCCCTCTGTCCCGCGAGGTCGAGACCCACAGAACCAGCCTAGATCAGCTCCGACAGCAGGTCCGCAAGAGTGAGGCTGCCGCCCGCGCCCTCGACCGGTTCCTCATGTCACTGCGCACTGTGGATGAAGACATCTCCGGAGTCCAAGGTGCCCCCTGCAGTGATGCTACGATACTGCAGGACGGTCGATCCAAGCTGGCTCTGATCAGGCAGAGCATCGACAGTCTGAAAGAAAAGGCGCCACAGCTGGATCTGCTCCTGCAGGGAGCCAGACTGACGGTCACCAGGGATGGTGTCCCAGCCTCCTGCCTGGACATGGTGACGGCTCTGCTGAGGCGGCTGGAGGAAGCTGACAGTGGTTTGGCTGTTCAGCAGCAGGGGCTCGTCAAGGAGACCCAGAGTAAATCCCTGGGCCTGAGGAAGAGGGCGCTGCTCGCTGAGCTGAGGAAGCTGCAGGATATGATTGAAACACAAAGCCTGAAGGAGCCCACCATACCTGCAGTGCAGCACAGGTGTGTGTTGTGTGACTTTATACTGATGGTTGTAATTCCAATTTAAATGAATGAGTGAATTTGATAATCTGATTTAAACATGTATTATAATGTCTTTCCCAGGCTTCGTGCCCTGTCAGATCTGGAGGTCCAGCTGCAGGCCCAGCGTGCCGAGCTCCAGAACCTCCGTGAACTTCAGGAGAAACAGGGAGAAGCAGAGCACCTCATGCAGGAGGTAGAGACGCAGTGGAAGGAGACTCACAAAGGTTTCTTTGAAAGGTGTGTTTGGCAGGAGAAGCTCAAGTAATCACAAACAATAAATGAAGCTTGTAGGAGTAAGTGATTGAACTACATTTACTGAGTGATGTAAAGCTATTCTTACAATTCTGTTATAAAGCTAATCATCTTGACCCAAGCAGTGGACGTGTGGTCAACAGAAGCTGAGACATCGGTCAAAACCCTTAGTCTTGTCTTCCTCTTGCAGGAAGAAGCGTTGTGACGTCCTGCTGGAGAATCTGAAGAAGTTTCAGAGCTGCCGCAGTCACCTGAGCAACACCCTGCAGAGAGCGGAGCAGACCATCGGTGATCAGGCTTCCTACATGGGCAAAGACAACCTGTACAGAAGTATTACCAAGGTGAGTTCACAAGAAACGTCTGAGTCCAACATTTTGTTTTATTCTGGTTTAACACAATCGTTGCAGTTTCATGTTGTGTAATCTAAACCACAGTTAGAGTTAAGGGAGACTGATGTTCTCTGTGTGTTCACTTCCCATTAACACGTGTCCATTTATCCAGGTCAGTGACACTAAGGAGGAGCTGGCTGGTCTCAGGGAGCGTATGGAGGAGATGAGAGGTGTTTGCAAACAGCTGCAGTCTCAGCTGAAGACGCTCCCAGACTGCAGCCAGTCTTCGTTTGAAGCAGAGGCTGATACTCTGATGGACAACTGGCTGGATGTAAGAATCTGTGCACGATGCTTTCCACAGAAATGAGAGAGGAACATGTGGATATTTAACTTGTGTTTACTACAAAATAAAATAATGCTCATAAACCTGGAGGTTAAGCGGATCCAAGGAAGGAAATCAAATAAATTAAAGTAAATGAGAAGAATTAGAATTAAGAGTCAAGCTGCACAAGTCAAATTAGAAAGCACAACAAGTCCCTTAAATTCAATATATATCAGAGTCTGATGGTTTTAATCAAGATCCATGAAATATTCCAGAGGAAATAAGGAAAAGTCAAAGTATTCCTGGATCTGCCTCATTAATCAAATCCACTTCAGAAGTTAATGAGTTCCTCCTCGGTCTGTATCACACCCCTCCTCCAAGTGTCAAGAAAATAATTTCAGTAGATCTTGTGTAATCCTGCACACAGACGCACAAACCTCCCTGAATGTCGTTGTTCTCTTTTTGCTGCTCTTTCAGGTGACAGAGAAGACGGATGCGTACATTGACAACCTCAAGGTGGGACTGGAGCTGTGGGAGAAGCAGCTGATGCTCGGCGGGGAGGTGGATAACTGGGCCGGAGCAAAACTCGCCCTGTTTGCAGAGAGTCATCCCTTCTACAACGAGCGAGAAGTTCTTGCCATGAGGGTGAGATTTCTGAAGAAGTGAAATTCACAAGGCTGGTTTTTCTTTTGAAGGACACCTGCAGCTATTTTACTCTTCACTTTACAGGATGAGATCCATGCAAATGAGGAGAACATTGAACATTTCCACAAGAAGTCAGTGGAGATCCAGGAAATGCTGCAGGGTCAGGAGGCTCCGCTGGAACTGCAGGTGATGGAAACCCAGCTGAGGAAGAGGATGGAGCAGGTGAAGGAGCTGTTCACCGACTGCACCGACGTGTTTGAGGAGCTGATAGCTGTGAAGAAACACCTCGCTGAGAAGATCCACGAGTGTCAGACAGCTGTGCAGAGCATCCAGTGTTCTCTGAGTAAAGTCGATGCTTCAGGGCCACAAGTCGAGGCCCAGCTACAGGTACACAACTATTTCATGTTAGAGAAACGTACATAACATGTCAGTCAGAGAAGTGACATAACCTGTATTTTCATTATATTTTCTCTCTCCACCAGGATCTGCTCACTAATCTGGAGACTCAGCAGGAGCAGGCCGAGGCTGTGTTGAAGGAGGTGCGTTTGGTTTCCAGTGTGGCCAGTCCTCAGGTGCTGGAAGCTCTGTCTGTGGACTGCAGCCGACTAACAGAGGCCATCTCCCGCACTAAGGACATGATTCACCTGAAGAAAGAGGAACGGGACAAGGGCCTGCTCAAAGTGCTCAAAGGTTCTTGATTTGAATCTGTTGTGATTTATCTCTTGATGCTTAATTTGCCTTTTGGATTTTTAATTAGCACGCATTATCAGTTAAATGGTCATAACGTGTCCTCAGATGAGAGGCAGTCCTTTGAGGAATGGTTCCAGGACTTGCAGCTGTCTGTCAACGAGTGCTTCGAAAACCCTGAGAGCAAAACAGATGTGGAGACGTCTCTGCAAAGACTCACTGTGAGTGGATGAGTAAATGGACGATCGGAGAGATAGGCATGTATGTGAGCTCGGTCTGACCTCAATATAAACGGGTCCTCACAGTTTCTCTTGTGTGCATCAGGCTTTCTTAAAATCCAAGGATGCAGAGCGACGTCTGGATCAGATGAAAGTTCAGCTGGAGAAAGGCAGAGAGCAGATTCCTCCCCAGCAGCTCTCTGAGCTCAGCGGCTGGATGAAGGAGCAGCAGGAGGAGGTGGGAACGTTCAGAACCCACTGCCACAACAGGCAGCAGCAAATGAAGACACTCCTCAGTGACCTGAACAGGTGAATTCATGGATCCCTCAACAGACCCGCATCACGTTAACATCAGTCAGTCCTGCAGAAGATGTCATTTAACATGTAGTGGTCATTTACACAAAGATTGGACTTTATGATTAGAAACATGTTTTCGTGTGTTTGTTCTCTAGTTTACAAAAGCAGCATGACAGCTTCCGTGAGTGGCTGCAGACCAAAGAGAAACAGTCTGTGGTGTCGGACAAAGACAAACGTCTTGTCCAAGAGCTTCAGGATCAGAGGTGACGTCAATCATCCAATCAAATCTGCAAACAGTCTTTTAACATGTACTTAAAAAAGATCTGATCTTTGTTTTAGACGGCTACGTATTTTGATAAACTCCCAAATATCCAGAGGCCTGGAACTATTAGCTCAATATACAGAAAGCTGTCTGTCCCCGCGACATGTCTTGTAGACCTCATATGTTTCTCTCCATGTGACAGTGGTCGAGCGGAGACCCTGAGTGTGCTGTTAGCATCAGTGCGCAGACAAGGCGTCAGAGGGGAGACCCTCCTGAAAGACGGCGATAACCTGATCCAACGCTACAGAAACCTGGAGGCTCGGCTGCAGGCCAAGGCCCAGACTGACCTGGAGGGGGAGTGCGACAGGTTCGATTCCCAGGCTGAGAGCACCAGGACCTGGATCGGAGACCTTCTGCAACCCCTCAGCTCCACTGACGTCCAGACGGAGGAGATGAAGTGCAAAGCACAGGTCAGTGGAGAGTAAATCTGATTTAGAGAATGACCCAGATGTTAAGATTCATCCTCTGAGAAGTTTTCAAACATTTGTCATAACTTGTCACCAGATGATCCTGAGCTCCAAACCTGAGGGAGAATCTAAGATGAACAACCTGTGGACACAAAGCCAGAGTCTGTGTGAGCAGGAGGAGCTGGACGAGAGGAGGAGACAACAAGTCCTCCAGTCGGTCAGAGAAACAGAGAAGCAGTGGACGGCCGCCCTGCAGACGGCAGAGGAGGCTCTCAACAAGGTGGAAACTCAAGCTCTGTTAGACAAAGACATGTGTGCTTTCAAAACCCAGAGTGAAAATGTCCAGTCCTGGATAAGAGACCAGGAACAGAACCTGCAGTCTGTCAGCGGACACGTGCCAGTCGAGGAGAAGCTGCAGATCTCACAAGTGAGTTTAAAAGAGAGTCAGATCTTATGTTCTAGAATGTGGTGGATTGTGATTTCAGGAACATCCTCGTGTTTTTAGAGCTGTAGAGCTCTTCTAAAGGGATGTGTGTTGTTCTCAGGCTACTCTCAACTCCAGACCTGAGGGAGAGTCAAAGCTCCACGAGCTGAAGCAACAGTGTCAGAGACTGTGTGACAACCAGGCGATGGACGACAGCAGGAGACATGAGGTTCAGGACGCAGTCAGACAGGGAGAGGAGCAGTGGGGGAAAGTGTTGAACGCTGCAGAGGAGGCTCTGGACAAGGCGAAGACCGAAGCTGCGTCCGACAGAGAGTTCGATTCTTTCAAAACCCAAAGTGAACACACCCAGACCTGGATGAAGGAGCAGAAGCAGCAGCTGTTGTCCCTCAGTGGTCCCATGCAGTGTGAGCAGAGGCTACAGATTTCACAGGTGAGTCCGGATTAATCTGAGGTTGTAAAGTTTACATTACCATAGATTTCATATTTCACACATGCAGCTAGACGTTCTCTGCACAGACTGAATCCTAAAGCTTTACACCTCCATCTCTGTTTCTTCTCTGTCAGGCTGTTTTAAGCGACTCGCCCGAGGGCGAGACGAAGGTGCTCGACCTGAAGAGACGAGGCGAGAGTCTGTGCGATGGCCTGGAGCAGAACAGGAGGTCTGAGCTGCAGCAGCTGGTGGAGGACGCGCAGCAGCAGTGGAGGACGGTCCTGCAGGCTGCTGGACAGGCTGAGCTCAGATGTCTCTCAGACGACTTTGACACGCAGAGTAAAAACACTCAGTCGTGGATCAGAGACAGACAACAGACGTTACAGTCCGCCGGTTGTCACACACCACCTGAGGAAAGATGTCGCACAGCTCAGGTCTGTATGTTTTCTGAACGGTTGAAAGGTTTTGGATTATAGATTGTTATAAATTATAATTACATATAATTATAATCAGAAGTCTGAATGCAAGAGATTTTGTATTTAATGAATATTTTACTGGGTTTTTTTTAATTCCAGAGCGTCTTGGGCTCCAGACCTGAAGGAGACTGTCAGGTCAACAATCTGAGACGACGAGGTCAGAGTCTGTGCGACCACAGAGACGCAGACGAGGGCAGGAGGCTGCACGTCCAGCAGACGGTCCGAGACACGGAGGAGCAGTGGAGGACGGTCCTGCAGGCAGCCAGTCAGATGAAGGATAATGCAGACGCTCAGGTCACCAAGGAGACGGAGAGGAGGAACCTGGAGGTGAGAGTAGTCTGTTAAACCTTTATTACAGTTTTTAAATGTTATGCAGAATTACTTACTGTGTTTGTGGCAGACGATTTAGAGTCTTCAGTCAACCTGGAAGAAAAAACTGAGCATATTCCTACATGTTGTAGTTCCACAGCTCAGATTTATTATGTCTGATGAACAATCCAAACACGTCTGAAGAGTTTAATCCACCTCATCACGTCGGTGTCTTTATCTTCTCAGTTGAGAGAATTCGATGCCCATCAGCAGGACGCCGGGCGCTGGCTCACAGACTTCCAACAACGAGTGAGCTCACTGAGCAGCAGAACCAAAGCTGAGGACAAGCTGCTCACAGCACAGGTGAGCTGAGGCTCCGTGGGGTTAACACTACAGGTAGAAATGAGCAGAGAGATATTTCTCTGTCTTTAAGAACCGACAGAGAGCAGGAAATACTCTCTCAAGGTTTTACCACTGGTGTTGAAGTCATGCTGTGTGATTTACTCCGCCCCTTGTGGCATCAAATCAGTGACCGCAGCTTGTGCATTTCACAGATTATCTTCAACCTTCTCTTATCCGTCTTTTGTCTCCAGGACATTTTGCTCTCCAAACCTGACGGAGACTCCAAACTCCAGGAGCTGAAGAGACGAGGCCTGAGCCTGAGCCGACAGGACCTCGAGGAACAGAAGAAACGGGAGGTTGAGCGACAAGTGAGAGACGCTGAGGATCAGTGGAGCAGAGTCCTGCAGGAGGCTAAACAGGCCCTGGATCAGGCTGAGAAGCAGTGTGCTCTGGAGGGTCGGCTGAGGGACTACGAGACCCTGAGAGAAAAAACCAGAGCCTGGCTGCAAGACAAGCAGCAGAGCCTGGTCTCTGTGGATGCTCAGATGGATCCAGAGGAGAAGATAATGACCGCACAGGTGAACTGGATTTCCACCACCATGAAAATGTTTCTTTGATATTAAATGTGATACCAAATGAGGACTTCAGTCGTGATTTGAAACTGTACAGCCAGAATTCACTGTTTATAACTTTATATATACACTTTCTAACTTCCTCTCAGACGATCCTGAGCTCAAGGCCCGAGGGCGACTCCAAGCTGACCGAGCTGAGGAGACACAGCCAGAGTCTGTCTGACCAGGAGGACCTGGAGGAGAGCACGAGACGAGAGGCCGAGCAGACGGTGAAAGACTCGGAGGAGCAATGGAGGACGGTTCTTCAAACCGCAGAGAACACTCTGAAGAAAGCCGAGGTCCAGTACTCGCTCTCCAGGGAAATGGAGGCCCTGTGTGCCCAGGCAGGGAGCACTAAACGCTGGGTGAAAGATCTGCAGGAACAGGCCGACTCCAAAGGGAAAGGCCCTCGGGGTAGTCAGGCTCAGCTGGAGGACAGGCTGACCACAGCACAGGTGAAATATAGAATAGAAAACACGAAGTAAATCACACCAGTGGACGGATATCAGCTGGACTGCAGGAGAAATTTTGCATATTTAAAATAGTTCTAATTCAGAAAATGCACGATTGTGTCTTTAGGTAATTTTAAGCTCCAAGTCCAACGGTGAGGCTCAAGTGACGGAGCTGAAGAGACGAGCTCAGAGTCTCTGTGGACAAAAAGACTTTGAGGGGGAGAAGAAGCTGGAGGTTCAGCAGAAGGTGTCAGACATCGAGGAGCAGTGGAGGACGCTCCTTCGTTCTGCTGAAGAAACTCACAGGTGCAGGAAGCTGCTTTCATGTTTTTAATGATTTAATGTGGACCTTGAGTCCAAGGTTCATAACGTTACTCATTCATCATCATATCTGCTTATTTAATCTAACTCCTTTAACATCTTCCTTAAATATTACAGTATTAATGTTCAGCTATTTTTATATTTATCTATAAATTAAACAACAAAGACTGACATTCGTCGACACACGTTACTTAACTGTGAGCTTGATTCTGGAAGCTGATTTCAGACTTAAATATTTTCCATCATCGTCTGTTTCCCGTCAGAGAGCTGAAGGGTGTCGTGGAGCAGCTGGTGTCCTGTCGCCACAAGCGAGGCCAGGCCGAGGCCCAACTGGCCGAGATCCAGAAGCAGACGTCCAACCTGCCGCTCGTCTTCCCTTGGCCCGGCCTGGGAGAGCGGCGGCAGGCGGTGGAACAGGCGCAGGCCCTGCTCGACCGGAGCACGGCCCTGGCCCCGGTCCTCTCCGACGTGTGCACGCAGGTAAGGAAAAGAAAATTCAGCTCGTATGCAACAGAATAAAATGGAACAAATGTTTTCACTCATCTTCTTCTGTGCTGTGACGTCCACCAGACTGAGAAGCTGTTTGACATCACAAAGGACCCGGGCTGGGCCGATCCGTCCTGGGCAGCAAAGGAGGAGTCGATCCCTGCTCTGCTGAAAGAGCTGACGGTGAGTTCACTGCTCGGTGGTGACAACACACAGGAGATTATAAGTAACAGCTTAACTGTAAAGGTTCATTAGAAAAGTGGATAAATTAGTTCTTTTACATCTGGTTAATTTGCTCATTGTCCAAACAAAAATGTACATTTCTATTGAGACGATGTGTTAGTGTAATATGATAATTATTATAATTATAAACTTTATTTACTCTTCTATAAGTGAAATAACAATCAGCAGGATGTAATGTGAAAAGGAAACAAGGTGTTAAATCAAATGAATAAATATCTGTATCTGTGACACGAGGGTGAAAAGAAAACGATAAAAACACATCACGCTATACAAGTCTATAAAATGTTGGTTTTAAGAAGAGATTTAAAAGACGTCACTGACTCCACGAGACTTATCTCCTCGGGCAAGTCGTTCCAAAGCCGAGGGGCCCTGACGGCATGTGATACTATGATCTCCTGTTTCCTTCAGGCTGCAGTGGCGAACCTGGAGCAGGGCGTCCTGACGGAGAGGCAGTGCACTCAGCTGGTGGAGCAGCACGTGGCAGCTCAGGACTGGCTGAGGGAGCAGGTGAAAGGCCTGGCAGCTCCTCCAGAGGACAGACAGGGTCTGCACGGAGCCGTCAACACTCTGAAGGTCAGATACTGGAACACTGACACTCTGAAGGTCAGATACT